TATATATATGTGTGTGTGTGTGTGCGTGTGTGTGTGTTATGTCAACGACATTGCTGGTGGTTTGGAATGCAATACCAGCCTGGCCTATGCTGATGATACATCACTGTATGATATGTACCGACAGAAGACTTTAACTTAATTTCTCAATGGGCTATGTAAAGTGACATTCAACATTAAACAAAACAGCGGAACTGTAGCTTGTTAGTGGAGATTCTTACTTTCCAATTGCATGGTTCTGGGTTCAAATCCTGTCACTGAAGGATTTTTTTATCACCACTAATTTTATTTGTTAAGGCCCTATTTATTTATTTATTTGTTTGTTTGTTTGTTTATTTATTACAACATTTTAGGAGAAAAATACAATATAAAAAATTCCCTCTAACCAAAATTAAAATAATATCAAGGGTTCTCCAAGGCATCGTAAAATTTTAAAAAAAATGTAAAAATACATTAAAATAATTTTTCGATAGATTTTACTGCGATAGAAGTTTTAGAAGTCGTATAGAAATATTGTTTAGTAAATACAAAAAATTCATGACATTAATTGCTAGTCCTATCTAGCATAGCTCGAAATCCGGGTCGATTTGGCTTAGGTCCATATGGCTATTTTTCCGCAATGCCGTAGTGCATTGAAATAGTGAGACTGAATTTTAAGTTTAATGTCAAGCCAGCTCCATCCATCAACACCTCGAATTTACGTAAACACGTCGGGACAATGTCCACGGGCTATTTTGTTAATTACATATGGATAGCCTGTGCATCCACATTATTTAAGGTAGCGCTTCCAGTAAGAAAGGGGCGAGGTCCCATATTTTGCATACAGTATTTAAGCATTTAAGCTAATTTCCATATGAACGGGACTTGATTAAGGTGAGATTTCTGAAATATGATCCCTCATCATGTGCATTCTTTTATAACAGAAAAACCATTGTTTTCAATATGTTCATAATGTCTAGCCTAGAGTTTAAAGTAGCATTTCCAATGAAAAAGGAGGCGTGGGCATTTAAAAATGTGTGTGGTCATTTTCGGGATGTTCGTCCACGATAAAGATTTTGGCACACATCCCAAGTTGTTCCTAGGGTTCATTCTATAACAGTTGAGATATTCTCTTCTAAATTAAGTGCACTTAGCCTGGTCCTAGAGTATGGCGATGAACAGTACCGTATGTGGACATACATGATTCTGGCATAGATTGATCCCATAGCTAGCATTTGAAGTCTATCAGGATATAATGATCGGGTAGACCAATGACCAAACATAAATAGGCTACATGTTATTCGGCACTGAACCTTTTCCAAAGATAAAATATGCCATTTCTGATACAGTAACCAGGCTAAGATACACTGACTCTAATAAACCGTGGGTTAAGGCTCGAAAAATTGGCTTAGTTTACGAATTCTGTGACCCACCGATCCGGGCTACCTGGCATTACCAGTATTGACAAAAATGTTAATACTATTATATTGTAACATAAAAGGATTGTCGGCAATCGATAATTTGGCGAAACTGTAACCAAAGATGAGAATTTATCTTTAAAAAAATAAGGTTGTTTTTTGAAAATAGTTGCCAATCACAGCACACTTACCATACCTTAATAGGTTATCGCTATCTTAAAATACCTACCTGGCTCAAATAATGTTAAATGTTCCTGTTTCCATACTAATTTAAAATAGGATGGCCATAACATATTTACTAATTTTGCTGTCTAAAGTACAATGGCTTCAAGTCAACTCGGCCCTTAACCGACTCGGATCATACCGAATCGGCCCTTCACCAACTCGGCCCTTAACCGACTCGGCCCATACACCACCTCGGCCCTTGTCAACTCGGCCCTTTAAGCGACTCGGCCCATAACCAACTTGGCCCATACACCAACTCGGCCCTTAATTGTCATTTCGGCCCTTAGCCTACTCGGCCTTAGTTTAATATTTTATTTTATATATTTAGTCCGTTTTAATTCTTGCGTTTCCATCCAGCGATTGTATAAATACGTGAAACATTGAAAACATTACCGTACTATGTGAATACATAGCACCATAAAATTTACAATAACAATG